TGTATCAGAAGCCTTAACACGTTACTCAAGTGAAAATAACTAGTTATTACTAGGTACTACTATTATACCTAGTAACTAGTTACTACCCACCTCTACCCCTCAATCACTACCTGTGACTCCGAATGTGGCAGTCAGAGATACCTTAAAAAATACACACACAATAGAGTTTCCCTCTACCTTAATTTCATGAGTTTTATAAACAGCAACTAACACAAATGGCTTCCACTGTGCATTTAAAATGTGTCTTTACTGTTGTGCCGTGTGTGATAATGCTTAGTTAATCATATGCACAGGTATGTTTGGAGCTGCAAACAGTCACTGAAGTCAGTTATAGGCAGTGGTGTCAAAAGTTCACACATTTGTTACTTAAGTAGATACTGCAGTTTAAAAACACTCTGGTAAAAGTTGAAGTATCAACTTGACCTCTTTACTCAAGTAAAAGTGAAAAAGTATGTGCTCCAAAAACTACTTAAAGTATAAAAGTATAAAGTAACCTTTGAAAAACAGCCAGATGTCACTATATGAATTGAAAGCTCAATTTTTCGACTATTTCTAAAAATTCTTTGAGATAGGGCCAAGAATGAGGGAGGTCTTGTTGGTCTCCATCTCCCGATACGCTCTCATCTGTGTCTGACCTTTCAGACATTTCAACATCTTTTTCTGAATCCTACATTGTAGCATGGCATAGGCAATTCACGTTAGCAGTTTGAACCAATGAGTGTTTGCGTTATATGACTCATCCAATCACACTAGTTTTCACTAGATGTGAATGGCGCCAATGATCTGCATTGGATGCCGCACATGACGTGAAATAAATATTTATAAACATTAAACCGAAGCCAAGAGTAATGAGTAAAGTTTGTTTTAAAAATGTAAGGAATAGAAAGTGAAGATACTTGTGTGAAAATGTAGAGTAGAAGTCAGCAGGAATAAAAATAAGTAATGGAGTAAAGTATGATCTGATTGAACTGTAAAGTGCCTTGACATTGACAAATGCAGAAAACCGAACAGAGAGACCAGGGAAAAGATTTAACAGGTTTTATTGAAGAAGTTTAGCAGAGGGAGAAGTGTTGCTCTGAACACTGCTCAACCGGAACTGTAAAGTAGACAAGGAAGACACAGCGGTTAGTTCAGGCTCAGTGGAGAATTTGACTCGTGAACTTGGGGTAGAGGGTTTGGTTGCCGACTTACGTTTCCAGAGAAGTTGTTGAATCCTTGACTCCTGTCTGTGTGCCGTGGTTCCAGTGTTTGTCTGATTTGGTGGAGGGCGGAACAGGGTTTACTCAGAATGCGGTTGAAAGTTGGTGAACGGAGAAACTGACTGCCACTCAGATTTCCTGCGGTACTTCAACGGGTCATAGTGGAGAATATCCTTTTCTCAGTGAGAAGCTCAAACGATCTCTTGGGGAAAGTGGATCCAAACCTCCTGTTTGAACCCCAGCTCAGTTTGAAGCTCAGTTGATCCTTCCAGGGAGTGAAGGTCCGAGAAATCCAGTTTGCAGGATGACTTCCTGCCGAGAGGCAAAGACAAAAACAAAGTTAAACTCAGGTTGACAAAAACTCAGCTTGACTCAGCAAAAACTCAGCTTGGCTAGAGTACCCAAAACTGGCAAACACTCTGGCGTCGAAGTAGTGGCAGTCAGCAGCTTAAAAATACTCCGTTTAACGAGGAAACCATCAGCAGGTGTGTGAGGAGGCGGACCAGAACCAGGCGCCTCCTGGTGGATGAAGGGAGACAAACACAGAAACACAAAAACAAGAGTCCTGACAATTTGCACCATTTTAATTGGTATAATGTAACACATACAAAAAAATGATGTTGAATGAGATGAGACAAGGTGAAAGATTTTATGTGTTTAATCAAAATTAGAACAATTAGTCATCATTGTTTCATCATATTGTAATCTAAAAGTTGCAAACTATTAAATTACAATATGGGACTAAATATGTAGCATAGCTGAAAAAAAAGATAAATCTGAGACAAAACTCAAAAAACTTAGAGATCCAAACTGCCACTGAAGATGTTCCTAGATTATCTAAGAGCCATGCCTCAAATCCTGTGGTACAAAAATAAATTTTTATAAGGGGAGTTGGTGAGGAACCTTCTGATGTTCCAATGAGGGTCCAACTCTCAGAGACCTTGAATTTTCATATTTGCCTAATAAACCTCTAAACTTTTTTATAAAATCTAGTCTCATCCATCTCACACATTTCTCCAGTGGTCTTAACAGGATCAGCCCAGCTGAGCTCTCTGCAGTCCATACCTGAGCTGGAAGTCCAAAATATCCTCTCTAGTTCACATAATGCATAGAAAAACATGAAAAAGGAGGATATTCGGATACAGTTTTTTATTTTTATTATTATTCCTATGCATAAATATACCTTCATATAGAACCCCATACACATACACCTTCATATTTTAATTAGTTTTCAATTAACAACAAAAAATATGAAAACATACATTTGTAGCACAAAGAGCTTCTTAACATGTACTTTAACTTTCTACTCCACTACATGCCAAGGAAGCTGCTAGTTCCTTGTTCCTTTTGGTTCAGCTTAGCTTTGTAATCCACTGTTGTTGTTTTTCTTTCTTGAAATGCAATTCCAACATGTAAGATAGCAGCCTTTAGGACTGAATTTAGACCCCAATATTTCAGAGATTAGCATGACCTTCCACAAATGTGAGAAACTCAGGGCAGATATTATTTGAAGTTTACAATTTGTACAGATGCGTTAGTTGTTGCCATGTGGCCAAGTTGTTCAGTTGGAGGAGTTTCAGAGAAGAGCTGTAGTTTCTCTGTGGTAACATATTCAGCCTTAAATGGGTCATAGAATGATTCTATAGGGTATCTGGTCCTTAAGGTCTCTGAATAGGGTGTGTAACATTGGTTGGGCTGAAAATTGTATATTTGCTGTTCTTTGAGCCCTAATGCAAGCCTGGTTAAAAACCCCAGAATTAAACGACAGGTTTTCTTCCTTTTATGGCATGCTCATGAATATTTAGACGATCTGCGCACTGATTGGTTGGTTTACAACGAGCGAAGCTGCTGAGCAAAGATGCATCATAGCAACAAGCACTTACTCACTGAAACATCAAATTGTTGATATGGTAGGGTGACCAGACATTCTCTTTTTCCCAGACATGTCCTACTTTTCATACCTAAACGTGTCCAGGGGGAATTTTAAAATCATCCGGGATTTTGGTCGACTACAGTGCAGCACGTAATCAAAACACACCGGGCATCGAACCGAGCCGTCAGCTCGGGGCTGGTCCAGGAATCCCGGCGGACAGGAGCCAGCGGGGGACGGAGCGACCGAACCCGACCCGGTGACGGTAGCCTGGAAACAGGCGGCAAGGTGCTTCTCCCTGCCTGCCTTACCGGCCCCCCCGCTTCCTCTGGCTGAGGACGGGCGGCTCATGGCTCTCTGCTGAGGTGTGGTCCAGTCAGCGGCCCAGCAGTTATTACTTCATACTCCCCCCTCCCTTGGGCTGGTGAACTAGTCTGTATGTCAATTTTGGGGCGTGACAGAAGTACAGCAGAGAACCAAATAAGGCACCAGCCTTGAGTTTACGTCAACTCTGGGATTCGCTTGGATTTGCCCGTTTTATGGTTGAAGTTTAGAATTGTGACATTTGTATAGAAAGGAGGTGTCGATGGAGTTTGAACTTCTCTGTACGTCCATTTCACCCACTGAACTATCATTATGTCATTATATCATCTATGACAATGGAAACTCAGTTTTGCATTCTATGACCCCTTTAAACATCTATTCTATACTGAAAGTATGAGGAGTATGTTTCAGTTTATTTTCAAATAAGAAGTAATAAACAAAATAGCCGCCCCTGCTTTTTTGTGGCATGTTCATGCTGAAGTTCTTTCCAGGTGGTGTAGAATCTGTAGCAGGTGGTTCTACGCATCAATACATCAGGTGATTTCTGAAAGTTACAAGGTTCTATAAAATGACACTGAAAATTACACTAGAAAATGTAATTTCAGTTTTTTAATACTTAAGTACTTTTAAATGCATGTGCTTTGGAATACTTAAGTATTTTCAAAGGTGAGTATTTCAATAGAGAGAAACTTCAGTTGAGAAACATTTGAATATGAGTATAAATACTTTTACTCAATTACTACTGCTGAGTACTTCATACACCACCCATTATTATTGTGTTATGTAATTAAATTAAATTCAGTTTATCTCTACAGCGCCAATTAACAACAGGTGTACAGAGACAATTCAACCAGATCATTCAGACGAATTGATTAAAAGTTTTGTATGTATTGTCTGGCCTCATCTTGGCCCCCGCTGGTGTATTTGGTCTAGAGCTGCCCCTGGTTGTTATATTTTAATGCAGCTAGTTTATTAAAATAAATGAAAAGCCTTATCTATCCCTGACACTGAGCCACATCATGCAGCCTCCACTGAAACACCTGCGCCTCTCCGCTCGCGCGCACTCCCCTTGCAGCTGCGCACTGGACTCCTCAGTGGAACTCACGCGCATTTTCGCTCCTATAAAGTGACGCTCAACGAGGAGCAGCGGCAGCAGCGCGTGGCGGAGCGGCACGCACCTGTCCCTTTAAGTGCGTGTCAAAGCCGATTACCGCTGATCTCCGTTGTGATTCTGTTTCCACCGTCTGTCTGAATCTCTGTTTTCCTATTGCTGCCGGTGCGTCTTTAGTTTGTCCTTTTTTAAATGCATTTTTACGCATTATTTGTTTTTACTTCCACGCACTAACTAGAGAAACTGGCCGCTGAAGTTGATGGGATGCAAACGCAGAGGGAGTGTATGTGTTACGGTGTGAGCTGCTCTGAGAGCCCGCATTAAAGCTACCGGGCGGCGGACGGTCCAACTTTTTATATCATGGTAAGCCCGGATTACCTTCTCCAACAGACTGAGACATTAACCGCCTTCCGTCTGGCATCAATGCGCTAAAAATAACCGCAGCAGAAGCAGAATATCTAACGATGCGCCGTGATGTGTGATGGCCTCTGCTTGAAGTTTGAATAAGGACCGGGAATAAAATGCAGAAGAGCGTGCGCTACAACGAGGGGCACGCGCTCTATCTGTCGGTGGTGGCGCGTAAAGAGGGCACGAAGCGGGGCTACCTGAGCAAGAAGACCACAGAGAACAGCCGCTGGACCGAGAAGTACTTCGCCCTCCACCAGAACGTGCTTTTCTACTTTGAGAACGACCAGAGTGCGAGACCCTCCGGCATTTACCTGCTGGAAGGATGCACGTGCGAGCGGACACCTGCGCCCAAGGTGTCCGCCGTCAGCAAGGAGCCCATGGAGAAACTACAGGTGCGTGACAGCGCAGTTTGGGTATTGCTTTAGTTTTAGTCGTAGGGAAATCATATTTAAATGTTAAATCATTCTGGCTCAAACATGTGCATATATGTACTCTTTATCAGACAATATTGTCACAAAAGTTAGAAAATTCCTATTTAAAAAAAAAATCCTGTCTTAAAATGTTAAAATCTGTTTTTTTCACTATCTAATGCAGGCCAGTTAGTTATACGTCAGCTTGAACACCTAAATTCGACCAATCATATATCAGCGGTCAATAAAATTTATCGATTATGGATCTTGATTCATATGTTGCAGCTAATATACGCAATGGTTGAAATAAGAAATAAGAATCATTTCCTTTCCTTTGAGTTCCGTCCCAGTGTTCACAGGGATGGACGTCTGTGTCTTCAGCAGGCGTAGAGCTAACAGAACTGGCAGCGTTGCGAGGCAAGGGCTCAAACATGTACCGCTGGAAGCC